CCCTGCCCCCCCCGGCCCCCCCCCCCCCCCAACCCCCTGCCACTCTGCCCCTAGCAAGTCTCCGCCAGCCCGAGGAGAACAGACCCCTTTGTGTCCCCTCGGGCTCCCCCCGCCCCCCGCGCGGGCGAGATTGACAGCGGGACATGCAAACCCTGTTGTCGGACGGAGCGGGGAGGTGGGGGGCCGGGGGGCGCGGGGGAAGGCAGCAGGCAGGTCACTGACACGCCGAGGAATTATTCATGAGCCCTGGTGCGGCGCGGGGGCCTCAAAAGACAAGACGCTGAAGTTTGTGCTGGGTGGGGGGGGCCAAGGGCAGGGGCGCGGAGGGGACGCTGCAGCCCAGGTCCTGGCTCCACGGGGCCAGGAGGTGGAAGATGGTCCCAGCAGGATCCCCAGGTAGTGGGGCAGGCACGAGGGCACCCCCCTGCAAGTGGGCCACGGAGCTGCCACGTGCACTTGCCAAGAGGGAGCCAAGCTGGGGTCGCACCCAGCCCCTCTGCCAGGGCATCCTGGGGCAGCCTCACATGCCAGGACGGAGGGGTGCCAGAGTCTGGATCTTGCAGCCGGCTCCAAGCTTTCAAACAGACCCAAACTAGGCTCCCGCATCCTTCCAGCACACTGGACACGTGTCTGTTCGGGTCCGTCGTCCTGCGCTCGGCCCTACAGCCTCCATGCCCAGATCCGGGCTTCAACCTTCCCGACTCCTACTCCTGGAGGACCTGTCCCCGGGGGCTGCGCCAGGCTATGTGCAAGGGCAGCGGGGGCACAGGGACGGCTCTGCCGGTTCGGAGGCTCCTCCGGAGAACACAATTCCTGCTCCCTGCTCCCGGGGAGGAGGAGGCGGCAGCCGCATCTCCATTTAAATGGAGCTGGCCCCCGCAGCACAGAGCCCCACTGGGTCTCTAAGTGGCAATTCAGCGCAGTGGGCTGGGCTGCCGGGCGAGACACGCACGCTGCTGCATGTGTAATGCCATGGAGCAAGGAGGCTGCGGTGTGGCGTGGCACTGGGCACCCGCTGGCGGGTGCTTTAGAGGGCCCAGCCTGGCCAGAGGGGCTGGAGCTGCCCAAGCCGGCCCTGCCCTGTGCCCGCTTGCCTGTGCGATGTGCATCGGAAACCTGGGCAGCGCGGCACGGGGCGATGGGGAGACGCAGCTCAAGTGCGGACGCATGCTCGGGGCATGCTTGCATTTGTGGCTCTGCCTCTGCCCACGCGCACACGCAGACTCCCTGTCACTCTGACTGGCTCAGACCCAGGTGTGTGCACAGACTCGCCCGCTCTCTGACGTGTATGCAGGCATGCACACACACGTGGGCACGTGCATGAGCCACCCCTGCTCCGTTGGGCGCACGCCCACTGGATGTTTGTGCACTTGGACACGCACCCTTGTCCCTCTCAAGTGTACACACGTGCACACACTTTCCTTCTGCCTCGCTCACTGTGCAGAGAAAGACGGCAGAAGGCCTGGCGGTGGCACGGGGCTCGCAGCTCCAGTCCAACATCCCGTCTGCAAACACACCCTCACCCCCAGCATCAATTCCTCCTTCCTGCTCGCTCACGTATCCTCTTGTCTGCTCACACCGTGCCCTCACCCCTCTGCCCCCACAGCCAGCCACAGCCCTGCTCTGTGCCTCAGTTTGCCTATGTGCAAACAGTGCTTTGAGATCTCCCAATAAAAAGCCTGGTGTAAGAGCTCGGCATCCTCATTACTGACCCACTCGTTGCAAGCTGAGGCACCAGGACCTGGCCCATTGCAGCTCCAGGGCTTGGCGAGGGCTTAGTCTCCCAGAGCCCGGTACCCATGCCTGGATCTCCCTTGAACTCAGCACCCAGGGTGGAAAGTCCATTGCCGCTACCCGCCCCCAGCCTCCTCCTGGGATGTGCTGGGAAATCACGGGATCCTAAACACAGACTGCGTCCGGGGTGGTGGTCCACATCTGCACTGTTGCAGTGTCTGGGGGTCAGCAATGCCCCCATGCCCTCCCTGCACCAGGGCCTCTGCCCTTGGGGGGTCTCAGCCCTTAGGAGTGACAGCGAGAAACATCAAGTGAGAGCATCAAGCTAATCCAAGCTATTTCAAAGCTGAGACCTTAAGAGGAGTCCCAGATCTTGGGAGCCTGACAGCAGGAGAGTCAACAACGCCCAGGCTCTCCCAGCCTTTGCAGCCTGCATACAACCGGACATTTGCAAGGCATAATGGGTTGCATTTGTAGAAGCATTGCCTGGTGATCAAGGGCAGTGATTCCTCCCCTCTATTCAGCACTGGGGAGGCCACGTCTGGAGTGCTGTGTCCAGCTGTGGGCCCCCACTACAGAAGGGATGTGGACATGTTGGAGAGAGTCCAGCTGAGAGCAGCAAAAATGGTTGTGGGGCGGGGGGACGTGACTGGGGAGGAGAGGCTGAGGGAACTGGGCTGATTGAGTCTGCAGAAGAGAAGACCGAGGGGGACTGAATAGCAGCCGTCACCTCCCTGCAGGGGCTTGCAAAGAGGATGGACTGGGCTGTTCTCAGTGGGGGCAGATGAAGAACAAGGAGCAATGGGCTCCAGTTGCAACAGGTTGGATATTAGGAAAAACTC